CAGGTGTTTGACTATATATGTTATCTGCATATGTAAGGCTAGTTATGGAAATGTATGACTGTATAATATAGGGCAGTGGATTATATAGCACGGCCTCACTTGGTGTATTGGCTGATTGGGATACACAGCACACAGTCTGGAACAACAGTCAACGGCACATACTGAAAATTCAGCAGTGTTCAGGATCATTTATCATGCGCTGTGGTTTTCTTAATTTACTGCAAAATCAGCTGTTTGTGGAGTATTAATATCTAAAAACTCGAAGCCACCTGCTGTTTGGATATTAGCTATATACTCAACACTGTTTGATCATATTAAAAATCAGAAGCTAAAATATCTATATCTATAAGGATATTTGTGAATGGTGAAAATTGGAAATTAAGGTGCTCCAGACAGAAAATTTGATTTTCCAGAAGTTAACAAGTTCATTAATTATGAGTGTTTTGGAAGTTTTTAATTACCAAGGTTCTTCATCCTAAAGGTAAGGGAAACTGGTGTTTATGTATAAGTCTGGAGTCAGTCTATGTTTTCTACCTATAGAAGTGATAATGTAATTAGTAGTTATTCCAGCCATATGGCGGATAGCTGTTATACATTGACGTCAGATATCCTGGCTAGGGTCAACAGGCATCTGTTTTCAATATACGCCATCCTTTCTATTCATTATAGGTATAAATGCCACCTTGACTGACCCCCTTCAAATATAGCAGATATCCGATACGGCATGATCGACATGTAACTGATAGGTTATGGATATTCATGTTATAAAATAATATTATCCATAGATATCATTGGCTCAGTGTTAGGTATGTATATATGTGTATATGTTTATATCATTGGCTCAGTATTAGGTATGTATATATGTGTATATGTTTGTATCATTGGCTCAGTGTTAGGTATGTATATATGTGTATATGTTTGTATCATTGGCTCAGTGTTAGGTATGTATATATGTGTATATGTTTGTATCATTGGCTCAGTGTTAGGTATGTATATATGTGTATATGTTTGTATCATTGGCTCAGTGTTAGGTATGTATATATGTGTATATGTTTGTATCATTGGCTCAGTGTTAGGTATGTATATATGTGTATATGTTTGTATCATTGGCTCAGTGTTAGGTATGTATATATGTGTATATGTTTGTATCATTGGCTCAGTGTTAGGTATGTATATATGTGTATATGTTTGTATCATTGGCTCAGTGTTAGGTATGTATATATGTGTATATGTTTGTATCATTGGCTCAGTGTTAGGTATGTATATATGTGTATATGTTTGTATCATTGGCTCAGTGTTAGGTATGTATATATGTGTATATGTTTGTATCATTGGCTCAGTGTTAGGTATGTATATATGTGTATATGTTTGTATCATTGGCTCAGTGTTAGGTATGTATATATGTGTATATGTTTGTATCATTGGCTCAGTGTTAGGTATGTATATATGTGTATATGTTTGTATCATTGGCTCAGTGTTAGGTATGTATATATGTGTATATGTTTGTATCATTGGCTCAGTGTTAGGTATGTATATATGTGTATATGTTTGTATCATTGGCTCAGTGTTAGGTATGTATATATGTGTATATGTTTGTATCATTGGCTCAGTGTTAGGTATGTATATATGTGTATATGTTTGTATCATTGGCTCAGTGTTAGGTATGTATATATGTGTATATGTTTGTATCATTGGCTCAGTGTTAGGTATGTATATATGTGTATATGTTTGTATCATTGGCTCAGTGTTAGGTATGTATATATGTGTATATGTTTGTATCATTGGCTCAGTGTTAGGTATGTATATATGTGTATATGTTTGTATCATTGGCTCAGTGTTAGGTATGTATATATGTGTATATGTTTGTATCATTGGCTCAGTGTTAGGTATGTATATATGTGTATATGTTTGTATCATTGGCTCAGTGTTAGGTATGTATATATGTGTATATGTTTGTATCATTGGCTCAGTGTTAGGTATGTATATATGTGTATATGTTTGTATCATTGGCTCAGTGTTAGGTATGTATATATGTGTATATGTTTGTATCATTGGCTCAGTGTTAGGTATGTATATATGTGTATATGTTTGTATCATTGGCTCAGTGTTAGGTATGTATATATGTGTATATGTTTGTATCATTGGCTCAGTGTTAGGTATGTATATATGTGTATATGTTTGTATCATTGGCTCAGTGTTAGGTATGTATATATGTGTATATGTTTGTATCATTGGCTCAGTGTTAGGTATGTATATATGTGTATATGTTTGTATCATTGGCTCAGTGTTAGGTATGTATATATGTGTATATGTTTGTATCATTGGCTCAGTGTTAGGTATGTATATATGTGTATATGTTTGTATCATTGGCTCAGTGTTAGGTATGTATATATGTGTATATGTTTGTATCATTGGCTCAGTGTTAGGTATGTATATATGTGTATATGTTTGTATCATTGGCTCAGTGTTAGGTATGTATATATGTGTATATGTTTGTATCATTGGCTCAGTGTTAGGTATGTATATATGTGTATATGTTTGTATCATTGGCTCAGTGTTAGGTATGTATATATGTGTATATGTTTGTATCATTGGCTCAGTGTTAGGTATGTATATATGTGTACCGGTATATGTTTGTATCATTGTCAAAGCATAAAAAACTACTCAATGATCAGACGATGATGATATTTTACCTGCAGATTTTTTTTACCCATATGAAAATATGATTTAATTTAATATGTAGTTTGTATTACTTCATTTTTTTGGTAGGTGATTTTATTTCAATAAAATCCGAAGTAGTCCTCATACACCAACGACATGTCTTAAAACAATTTGGATGTTGTTCTTTGAACATATAGTATTTTTTCTGACATTGGATTATATTTCTTAAGGGATTGAAGCTGATGGTATTTTAATAAACTATGCAATCCCTATTAAAATATCTAAATTGAAGATTGATGGATTAAGTTGTTTGTCTATCAGTTCCACTGTTTGACTAGTTTCGTTGTTGGCCATTTACCATTCCCCCACATCAGAGATGTTACATTTTCAATTGAACACCAATCTTTGGTTGGACAGAAGACATCTATACATACCTCACAACTAGGTCAAGCCACCTTATTAATCTGGCAAAAATGCATTTTGTAATCACATTACAACTAATGTGATAGAATAAATATAATCACCATAATTGTGTTTGTATATTATAGTGAGAATATATAACTTGGGAATTTGGGGGACAATAATAACTAACTCAGACCTACCGACATTTATCCATTATTATTTCCCAAACATTGTTTTAGCTAGCTCACATGTATTCCACTGGAATACATACGTCCTAAATTGATTATGTCTTAATTACCTTCCATGAGATCTTCTATCAAGAAAAAAATATACTGATATATATATACACATGGCTGGTACAAAATGATATCATACTTGGCTGCTAAAGGAATTGTGTGGTGTGCCCAAGGCTGTTTGTTGAGCCCTGTTTTGCTTCCTTGCAACAAAAAGGAAGACAGTTTCCACAGGCAATGAGGCCACTTAGGGGGTTACATACCTTAAAGTGTAATCTCACTGAAATACCATAACCTGTACACTCTTAGCATGACACTCCACTTATTCACATTATACTAACAGTGAGCTATAATAAGAGAAAGAAAATGAAAAGTAGAAGGGAAAGAAATATATAGAGTTACCAAGTATTGCAAGGGGCAGTAGAGTATACTACTTCTGGTTCCTATTATCTCAAAAGCAGAAGATGAAAAGTGTGCTAATAAAAAAGAAGTCTTTCTTCTGCACTGGCTGGTAATTAATAAATTTGTACCTTCATTTTAACTTATAAAGTAAGTGACAACTTGGAAACATTCTTCAATATTGTGTGTCATAGTGACGATTAATTGGCACCATTACTCTTGTCTTGTCTGGGAGTTGCATATTGATTTACTGTTGTATCAGCTATTGTCATTGTTATATAAAGAACAATGCAATCATGTCTGATTGTCATCACTGTTTCTTTATAAAGAACAATATGTTAGTTATCACAGCCATCTAACCAAAGTCCACTGTCTTTACTGAAATATCTTTTTCCATTCGATTTAAGTCATATTTAACCAGACTTGGTGCATTTAATTATCCAATGGACATGTCCAACCAAAAAGTCTTATTCATCAGGATTGTTCAAATAGTCTGGCTGCTCTGCTCGAGTGTTAAGTTAATTGTAAAAAAAAAATTGATAATTATCTGAGATGTCCACCATAGTCTCAAAATACACAAAAACATTTTCATATTTTTGTATAGTTCAGATAAATAGGAACTTCTGAATAATTAATACAGGCCCTGTGAACCTCTTGGTGAAAAAATCCTTTATAACTGAGATTGATACGCATTAACAATTCATACACATTACAAATTCCTGATCATTATCGCTCATACATCATGCACTTGATTTGGTTTTTATTTAAAATGGGTCTGGAGGGGAAATAATGTTTGATTGTTAGATTTAATTAGATAACGTTTGGTTGATTGCTTTAATAATTTGCATATACTTGTGTCATGTAATATCAGAAATATAAGTTGACACGTGTAGTTTGGGTTCATTTTGCTGTTTTCATAACAGTTGACAGGTGCACTATGCTAACATATTTATCTGCAATAAGCCCATTGGGCTAACACATAAATCACTTGACATGAAGTAGGGATAGGCTCTTACAGGGAAATGTTCTGGAATATGTTCTGAACTGTTATGTTTTTCTTTTAATTAAATGAATTCATTAAAAGTTTTGACACAATGAAACCTGTCTTATCAGATGCCCTTCAGGATTCAACCAATTGGTTGACTTAGACAATGACAAAATACATAAGTTTTCTTATTTGGTGCCAATTTGTCAGGATAGGGTGTCGTAATACTCAAGGCACAAAGTAGACAGGTATCACTGTATGAGAATTCCAGCATGTTTGGAGTGGCCTGAAGAATGAACTGGCTTTTGTGTTTGTTTCAGCCCAGAGGTGAGAGCATTCCTAACACTAGACAATCCTCGCAATGCTCAAGAACCTGTAGATACTGACACCTTTGAGGACTCGGACACGATGGTGAGTACAGCATTTTATCTAGATGGATTTTTGAAGTTTGTACTTTAATTATGGCCTAACGGGTTCCCAATATCTTGTTTCCAATTTAGTTTCAACAAAGGCCACCATTTCAGATGTGAACATATTAAACCAAATGCCCTAGCCCAGTCAGCTATAAAGTCTAGCTAACTCGGCCCTGAGGTCTAGAACAGTTGACAGAATTTGATCCCTGTTGGGATGGTACATGCAGGTATGATTTGGAGCTACAAGACGTTTTAACGGATCTGTATAAAAGTATTGATTGTCCACACTAATTCAGTGTTATATATTTGTACGTGAAATCAAATAAAGTTAGAGGAGCGTGAAAGTTTGGGATTTTGCCACTGTTAAAAGTGTTAAAAGTTAAAATATAAGTTTGAAATTGCAGCCTTCAAATATTTTGGAACGAAATTCAGTCTCTGCAGGAAGAAAATATAAATAGGAGTATATTTATAAATATCTTAAACAAAATTCATCTGAAAATCAAAGCCTTGTTAGTTTCATTTCGAAATTTCTTGTTTTTGTAAGATTATTAGAATTTTTCTTATTTGAAGAGGAATTAAGTTTCTCTTTCAGAACTTTCTTAGATCAATTACTTTATCCTTTAAGTTTTTCATGATAGCAGTTCCAACAGAGACATTATAACCACAATTCTTTTCATGTGTTGGATTTTTTTGTAACTTGGCAGACTAAACCAGCACGGTCTCCTAACTAATTACAAATCAAGACAGCTGTTATCAGTTATATTATGAGTCATGCTATGTATAAGTACTATTTGCATTCATGTACCTGCTATTAATTAGCATTTAAATGAGTTCATTTAAAATATTTCTGCCAAATTAATGATACATGCTTTACATCATAGGTTAATGGGGAAATTACACATATCTACATAGTCTGCTTGCTTTAAGTAACAATTTTCATGACCCCAACTATCTCGACTTTGGCAAACCATTCAGAAGGTATAGAAGCATTTGATTTTCATTTAACAGCACAGTATAATCAAATGTATAAAAAGAAAAAGATATGTGGGGTTAATTAAAATCCAATTTATTGCATTTCTGAATGTATTGTTAACCTTTCATATAGTAATATGGTACTTTAAAAATAAACTTTACTAAGAACCATAAAACATTCAACAACAGATGAGCAATGCACCTTAGGCCTCTTAAACCTGCACTGATGTATTTGACATAATATGCACCCTCTATCCCTGTATCGGGTCTAAAGGTCCTTTCCCTTCACCATTATTTATGAAAAATGTGTCGATTATGGCTTTTGTTTGCTACCATTCAAATTTTCCCAAATTACGAAGTGCCCAGGGCATTTATTAGATCAATATGATAATTATGATATCAAATTATCAATGCCATTAGTTTTATCTGTAATTGAAGGGTCTTTCCCTACCTGCCTCTATACATTTGTAATTTATTACCATTGTTAAAATATTTTGAAAAATTTGTCACTATCCTATCTACCTTAATAATTTGAGATACGAAAGTGGAAACAAATTATTTTGTTTAGCATCACATCAACACCAAAATATGTTGATACATCATATTAGACTCAATCTTTGCTATTGTACTTTTAATAAGAAGTAATGACCGTTTCATTTTTAGGATCGTAAGGACACCAACCCAGTGAACCTTGGTCCAAGTGAGCGTACCTGGTAAGTGACTTGTTAATCACTTCGTCGTTAATTGTACCGTTATAGGTAAACACACCATTTAATGATTCGTCCTGTATTATTGTGGTAGGTCAATAAACAAGGCAATCACCTTTCTTTGTAGATTTTCATGTACATGTATGGTTTATATAAGTTATAAAATCTTATATAAATATAAGTCCTGTGAAAATACCTTTGATAGTCTATGCAAATATAAGCTTATATTGATCTAAAACACTGTTTATAATAATACAAGCAAGGATTTGGATTATGACAGATTATAGCAATTTATGAACTGTTACACATAACGTACAATATGGGTCATGGCAATTTATGTAATGTCCAATATGGGTCAGTCTTAGGTGGCAAAGTTTGGTTTTCAGGTCATAAGAATATTCATCTGGCAATAAGCCCATACTTGGTGATAAGCCCATCCACATTAATTGCTGTTAAGTAGAAATGGCAACAATTGCTATTTCATGGTCCTGTAATAAGCCCACCCCTACTAAGTGTCGGTCCTGTAATACGCCCACCCCGACTAAGTGTCGGTCCTGTAATAAGCCCACCCCTACTAAGTGTCGGACGTTACGTGTTGCTTCTCCTATTGCAGGATAAATGTGGTAACTGTAAAAATGACTGGTACGACTGGGGTATATACGTACACCATAGGACACACTGAATTTAGAGAGGCCCATTTATGAACTTGACTCTATAAATCTACTTTGCGGACTGAAACAATATTAACATTCAGATAATTATACACAGGGCCGTTGAGGATTGCGATTATTCCTCTTTTTGTTTGTCCACAGATAAGATCTTTTATAGAAAACTGGTCTAATAGTAATCAACTGATTTGGAACTAACTAGACATTAAACTTTATCATCTACACCCAGATGTATTTGTGCCTGTGGTTTGAGAATATTGATGATAGGAATTTAAGTCGAGCTACAGCCCACATACCTGACATTTTAACCTTGATGATAGGAATTTAAGTTGAGCTACAGCCCTCATACCTGACATTTTAACCTTGATGGTAGGAATTTAAGTCGAGCTACAGCCCTCATACCTGACATTTTAACCAGAATCTTGTCTGTAGCACCCAAGTTTTGATTAATTCCCATGAGATTTTAAACTTTAAGATTATCATGCATGCATTTAGGATATTTATGACAATATACTTACTACTGCAGTTGATGCTACTGTAAACATTGAAATAAATGTTCTGTTCTGCTTAAATCTTCAGTTAAAATTTTAGGCAAATTGGTGTATAGTTCATGCCAAATTTGTGCTTTAAACTTTAATATCGTAACTGTCATATATCTGTATCCGATTTGTAAGATAATTTATGTCTGTTTCAGTGTCAAGCCGAGTGATTTTGAGTTTCTGAAAGTTATTGGAAAAGGCAGTTTTGGCAAGGTGAGGCGACTTCTCAATTAAGGCACTTGTGATTAAATTAGCATGAAATTAATGGTTCTAACAGTATTTATATCCTACTCACTGTAAAGGTCAGTGTGTAATTTATAGCGTCACTAATGCTATATGACGTCAAAAAACCCTTATCATGGTTATAAAGCTAAAGCAGTTAATTGAAGTACTGGAAATATCACCCAACAAATTTCTTTTTTTCTAAGCACTATCTGATTGTACCAAGCATTCCTTAACATTCTTTAACCATACAATTTTACAGTGTTTTGAGGATTTTTTTGTTTTTCATAAATATTTGAAACGATTGGATGATACAACGATTTCTTGTTTTGAGATGACCGCTTACAGTAGAATGATGTTGTGTCTCTGTCCCTGTTATAAATATTCATTTCAATGGCCCAAACTAACTGACAATGAGCCATTGGTTGTATGTATACTATATTGTCTCTATATTTAGCTGTTGTCCTGGAATTTAAGTTATGCTATTTTCAACAATTACACAGCTTGATAGGCTGTTTTGCTGTCTGAACATTTTAGTAGTTCAGAGTTTTTTTCCCAATTTCCCAATTAGAATAGAACTTAGTGTTGCAAAAGGTTAATTGCTAATCTAAGATTTAACCAATTACATGGTCCTTGCAGGTTCTCCTGGCCCGTCATAAGCTTGAAGGGAACATCTACGCCATTAAGGTGCTCCAGAAGCAGGCCATCATGAAGAGGAATGAGGCAAAGCATATCATGGCTGAACGCAATGTACTGTTGAAAAATATCAAACACCCGTTCCTGGTCGGTCTCCACTACTCCTTCCAAACGGCAGACAAGCTGTACTTTGTCCTAGACTACGTGAATGGTGGTGAGGTAGGTATTGTTAACTTGTCATTAAAAATTGACAAAGGAACCAGAGTACACAATTTGGTTTAAGACATTTCCTGAAAGATATTTGAGAAATCATTTGCATAAGAAACATTTTCTGTTTTCAAGGTGATCAAGCTTAAGGCCAAAGAGGAGGAAATAAGTGTTGATGAACAGAGGAGAAAAGGGATACAATGTCATATGATAAAAGGAGCAGAAAATGTGAGGGAGAAATATGATAATGATATGGAGGAATAGGGAAAGAATAATGTGTGAGGTGAGAAAGGCCAGGTTATTGAATAAGAAAGAATAGGGTAATATGTGGGAGAAGACGGAAAAAAGGAACAGGATATTCAAGGAGGAATGAGAGGGACAAAATGGATTTAGGGGGGGGG